GGCATGGTGGCTCACGCCTGTAATCCCAGCACTTTGGGAGGCCGAGGCGGGCGAATCACAAGGTCAGGAGATCGAGACCATCCTGGCTAACACAGTGACAGTGAAACCCCATCTCTACTAAAAAATACAAAAAATAAGCTGGGCGCGGTGGCAGGCGCCTGTAGTCCCAGCTCCTCGGGAGGCTGAGGCAGGAGAATGGCGTGAACCCAGGAGGTGGAGCTTGCAGTGAGCCAAGATTGCGCCACTGCACTCCAGCCTGGGCGACAGAGCGAGACTCTGTCTCAAAAAAGAAAAAAAAAGATAGGAAACAACAACTTCAATTTTCAATTTATAGTAAAAACAACAACAACAACAACAAAAACCCAACTAGGATAGAGCTTTTTGAGGGAGGATAAAATTCTTCTGGTTTGCAGCAGACTTCCAGATACATGGAAATCTAGCTGCTTCGGGAGTGGGGCCAAGACAACTATGCCCAAGTGTAGGATCATTATGCTACACTGAATTAAAAAGAAGAAATCACAGTTCAAATCCCTGGAGTTGGAAGAGTTGTAAGTTCCAATGCGGTATTATGACTCCAAGTTATACTGGACTCCTCTGTTCTCCAAGGAACCCTAGTGTACCTTATAAGTCTACAGGAAGACAAACTGGTACAGTTGTAGTAGAGGGCTTGGTGAAGCTTGCTATGTGTCCTCAATTAGGGAGCATGATCTGAGTTCTTAATGTGGCCTTGGTTATAAGCCCTTGTTCCAGCCAATGAGAGAAGAACTCCATCCTCTGATCTGAAGTTTAAGGTGTCAAAAAACCTTGATATGAATCTGTTAGTGTCCACCTTGGGCAGTTGGGAACTTGGGAAAAAACATAAATTCCATTTGGATACAAAGAGAACATTGGAAAGGTTTGTCAAATAGAAAAGAATCAAATTAATAGATGCATTTGGAAATAAACTACTGGCCCAGCATGGTGGCTCACACCTGTAATCCCAGCTCTTTGGGAGGCTGAGGTGGGCGATCACTTGAGGTCAGGGGTTAGAGTCCAGCCTAGCCAACATGGTGAAACCCCATCTCAACTAAAAAAAAATATGAAAATTAGCTGGGTGTGGTGGTGCACACCTGTAGTCCCAGCTACTTGGAGGCTGAGGCATGAGAATCTCTTGAAACCAGGAGATGGAGGTTGCACTGAGCTGAAATGGTGCCACTGCACTCCACTCTGGGCAACAATGACAGACTCCATCTCAAAAACAAAACAAAACAAAACAAAACAAAAAAAAGAGAAACGACTTCACATTTGGGATTAAGTTTTTTTAAAAAAGAAAATAAACTACGTAAACTGCTTTTCATAAAGAATGTAAAGTGCCCTGAACACAGAAAATATTCACGCCTCCAACAAACCTTTATCAAGGCCTTACCAAGGACCAGGTACAGTGCCAGGTACTGGGATTTTATGTATAAATGTGTATATGTATATCCTAAGAACTGGGATATACAGATGAATAAAACTCAATCCTTGTCCCTGAAGAACTCACCACCTACCTACTTGTCAGAGAAGGGACAAATCCCTCAGATGTGGGCATTATACCCAAAAGACTAGCTAACACATTCAAAGTCATGTAGCACTGGCTAAGGGCTGGACTGACACAAAAATCTGATACTCCTGACTTCAGATTCAGTAGAACAATGCTCATGCTAGTTTTATCTTAAACAAAAAATGTGGCAAAATTAAATTCCATTGCAACTCGAAACTTTAGGTCAAGTGTGGAATCTCACAATCACACAAACTACTACAATAGAGGGCCTAAGACATACAGAATCAGCACAGAACTCAAGTTAAACAAATACTCTTTTGACATCCAAGATCCTTATAAGGAAGGAGACCACTACTACTCCTGCTGCCCTCCTCCCCCCACCTTGCCTAGTTTCCAAGACAGGAGGAAAGAGAGAAAGAAACAAAAGTAAGATAAATAGCCAGACAACCTTGGCACCACCACCCGGCCCTAGGAGTTAAAAAAAGTAATAATAATAACATCAATCCCTAACCTAAACTACTTATCTGTAAATCCCAGACACTGTATGAAAAAAAAAGCACTGTAAAACTTTTTGTTCTGTTAGTTGATGCATGTAGGCAAGAGTCATGTTTCCCACGCTTGCTCGATTTATCACTACCCTTTCACGTGGACCCCTTAAAGATGTAAGCCTTTGGAAAGGCCAAGTATTTCTTTTTCGGGGAGCTCGGCTCTTAAGACGCGAGTCTGCTGACACTCCCAGCCGAATAAAAAACCTCTTCCTTCTTTAATCCAGTGTCTGAGGAGTTTTGTCTGCGGCTCGTCCTGCTACACTTATAAACAGGAGAAAATCAATTTTCCTAATAGAAATCCATCACACTCTTGGATAGCGGCTGCCTTTGCAGTGTACTGTCATCAACCTAGCTCCCAGATGGTTGCAGACCTATTGCATCAGACAAATCGAATCACATGTACTTGACAGCATCCGCCCAACCAGTGACCACTCCAGTTAATATAGGCAGAGATTTATGGGCAGAGGGTTCTATGATTTTATTCAGCTTCATGAAAGATGCTCGACATGACTCCAAGATCCGGCAGTTCTAGGTTCTAGCAATGTCTTTAAAGGAAAACGTCCACAAATCACAATTAAACAGCCTCAATCATTACAATCTTTTTCTCGCCTCCCCACTCCCCTCACGTCTGATCTACCACGGAAAAGACTTTTCCGATTCTTAAAGTATGCCCATAGGTCAGCGGATGGCATTCCCAAAAGCTTCAGGGTCATTTCTTTTGGCCAAGAGCGGCCTCCAACGCCCCGAAATGCTTCCGATATGGAAGGAATGAATCTACTCTGTTGCAAAAGTGACACCGTTTCCGGAAGGAGCCTTTGATCCTATCAAAACAAAGGAAAACCACTCTGGCCTTGCTGAAGATGAGAAAAAGACTGGGGGCGACCAAAGATTCGTGATAGAAAAGCCGCCTCGGCCCCACAACCTCCCGCCATTGCAGGCTCTGGCAACTCCCGGGGCAGGAAGGTTTGACAGCTCCCGATGGGCGTGCGTACGCACACAGGCAACGAACGGAACTGAGCACGCGTGGAAGGGACCTCGCACCGCCCGGGTGGAGGAGAAAGTGGGACGACCCCGGCTACCAGGCTGTGTTTTTGCGGATGGGGAGAACCTCGGAGCCACCGCACCTTGGGAGGGGGTTTGACGAAGGGTGGAAGCTGTGGCCTCAGGAGCGGTGGCTGGATTTTAGAAAGTTGGGTTTAGGATCAAGGAGGTAACCCGCCTGTGCCGGTACTTACATCGTCGCCACTCGCTGTCTGCCTTCACCAGCTGGTCCACTAGTCCCGGGTCCTTGAAGCGCTTCTCCTGCGTCTCTCGAATGAGGGCTGGGTCCCCTCCTTTATCCACCCGAAACAAATCCAGATCCAGCACCATCTTTCCTCCCGGGCCAACTCTCACGGAAGCGAGGATCGCGCCGCAGCACTCAGCCTGTGACCGCGGCACTGCGCCGGCGCGCTGACCCGCCCTTCCTGCGCAGGCGCGGCTGCAGCCCGCCGGCGACCCCTCTCGACCGGAAGCGGCTTGTTGGAGGCGGGGCCGCGGAGGGAGGGGAGGGGAAAGTGGGTAGGCGTGGAACTCTACGTCTGGTTCCTTTGCCCCGGCTCTGCCCTTCTGCAGGAACTGTGATCGCCCCATAAAAGTGTGAATGCCTCAGTTTCCTCCTCCTGTCTCAGGCTAGGCAGAGAGAGGCCTGTCCCTGCATCCCTAGCTTAGAGGCCGGTGCCGTCACCAGATGCCTGTTTTCCTCTCACTAGGTTGGGTCCTTCTACTGGGCTCTTTCCCCGAACCTCCGCAGTCTTCTCCATCTTGATACAAGAGGATGGCATATGTAGTCCCAGGGCTACCTCAGCTTAAGATTCGTGCTCTGATGCCTTAGAAATGGGTAACTTGGCCGGGCGCGGTGGCTCAAGCTTGTAATCCCTGCACTTTGGGAGGCTGAGACGGGCGGATCACGAGGTCAGGAGATCGAGACCATCCTGGCTAACACAGTGAAACCCCGTCTCTACTAAAAAATACAAAAAACTAGCCGGGCAAGGTAGCGGGCGCCTGTAGTCCCAGCTACTTGGGAGGCTGAGGCAGGAGAATGGCGTGAACCCGGGAGGCGGAGGTTGCAGTGAGCTGAGATCCGGCCACTGCACTCCAGCCTGGGCGACAGAGCGAGACTCTGTCTCAACAACAACAACAACAACAACAACAAAAAATGGGATAACTTTCTTAATCTGATTATTGAATAAACCAAATCGTCCCTTTACCAACTCTTAAGAGCACAGCTTTGGGAAAATGCGGTTGTCTTTTAGAGAGAGACAAGAGAAAACTTTTCCAAAGGGACACGGCAGATTTGAACGCAGTATAAGGTATTGAGGTCATGTCTTGGGTCAATTTGAAAGCGTCTTGAAGGACAATTTGTATCAAACTTTAATTTTATAATGTTCAGGCCTTTACAATGAAATATTCTGGTTGCTGATTGAAGCCAAAGTTACCAAAGAATCTCCCTGATAAGAAGAGATTATTTGAAGGATTTGGGAACAGGTGATCTGTTACCCCACCCCTGCCCCCAATCCTTCCACTTTGCAGAAACTTTGAAGCCTCACTCCCAATGCCTTCTCAGAGCTAGATGTGCTAAGATCTTCTTGATCTTATACCACCGTCGTGGACTCCTGAGATGAGGGTGTGACATAGCTAACTATCATATTATTTATAATATGAAATATATTTGGCCTTTGTCCCTGATTCCTGACTCAACCCTCTAAAACCCTTGAATTTCCTGGGTTATTCATAATGAGTCCCTTTAATAACACCTGAGTTTATAATAAGAGGTGATTTAGGATAGGGGCCCTAGATAACCTCAGGATGGGGCCAGTCACCAGAGAAACCAAGTGATTGGAGGATTGGAACTTTCATCCCCACCCTTCAACCTCCAGAAAAGGGGGAGGGGAGGGGCTGGACATCAAACTCTGTAAACACGCGAACAACAAGATTTGATGAGCTTCAGGGTTGCTGAACACGTGGAGATGCCAGGAGGGTGTATTGCCCAGAGAGGGCATGGAAGCTCTGCACCCCTGACACCTTGCCCTATCCATCTCTTCATCTGGCTGTTCATTTGTACCCTTTGTACTATTCTTTATAATAAACTGGTAAATGTTTCCTGGAGGTCTGTGAGCCTTCTCAGCAAATCAATCAGACCAAAGGAGGGGGTAGTGGGAGCCCCAGTTTATAGCTGCTGAGTAAGAAGTGTAGGTGAAATCTACTACTTGCAGCTGGCATCTGAAGAGGGGCAGTCTAGTGGGATCAAGCCCTTACACCATAGAATCTGACACAACCTCTAAGGAAGGAGACCACTACTAATCCTGCTGCTCTCCTCCCCACAACTTGCCTAGTTCACAAGACAGGAGGAAAGAGAGAGAAACAAAAGTAAAATAAATAGCCAGACAACCTTGGCACCACCATCTGGCCCTAGGAGTTAAAAAAAGTGATAACAATAACATCAACCCCTGACCTAAACTACTTGTGTTATCTGTAAATCCCAGGCACTGTATGAAAAAAAGCATTGTAAAACTTTTTGTTCTGTTAGTTGATGCATGTAGGCCCCAGTCACGTTTCCCACGCTTGCTCGATTTATCACGACCCTTTCACGTGGACCCCTTAAAGTTGTAAGCCTTTAAAAAGGCCAAGTATTTCTTTTTCCGGGAGCTCGGCTCTTAAGACGCGAGTCTGCCGACGCTCCCCACTGAATAAAAAACCTCTTCCTTCTGAAATCCGGTGTCTGAGAAGCTTTGTTTGCGGCTCCTCCTGCTGCATTTCTTGGTTCCCTGATTGGGAAGCGAGGTGATTAACGGATGGTCGAGGCAGCCCCTTAGGCAGCTTATGCCTGCCCTGTAGAGCAGCCCTGCGGGGGACTCTGGCCAGATTGAGCGATGCGGATCCTGAGAGCGCTCCTGGGTAGGCATTTCTCTGGTGGAACGCCTCGTCAGAGCAGTGCACAGCAGGCTCCCGTGGAGGACCAACACAGTGGCTGAACACCGGGAAGGAACTGGCACTTTAAGTCCGGACAGCTGAAACTTGGTAAGACTGGTCTTTGGAACTTGCCCACTCCACTTGAGTGGAACGTGGCCTGATCACCCACGGTGTGCCTGTACTGGCGGTTTGGTTTTTGTTTTTGACTTGACTTGAATTCATTGCTTGATACTTTGGTTTTGGTTTTTGACTTGACTTGAATTAATTGCTTGATACTTTGGTTTCTGTTTTGATTTTGACTTGACTTGAATTGCTTGATAAACAGGCGTGCGTTTATTGGCATTTCGGTTTTGGTTCTGATTTTGACTTGGCTTAAATTGCTTGACGAACAGGTGTGCCTTTAACAACACTGGTTTTAGTTTTGATTTTGATTTAGTGTAAATTAGACGAGTGAGTGACCTTTTAACCTTTCCTTCCTGTATTGTGAATGTTGTTTTGTGTCGAGAGAAAAATAGGTCAGACACAAAGTAAGCCCACTCCGCTAGTTACTGTGTTAAAACATTTCAAAAAGAAAAATTTCAAAAAAATAAAAGGAAAGTCATCCAATCATCAAAACTTACCCTATTAAAATGCATGTTACAGAACCTTAAGAAAGGTTTTGCAGGAGATTATGGAGTTAAGTTAACCCCTTAGAGGTTAAGATCTCTGTGTGAATTAGAGCTGCCCTCTTTTGGTGTTGGATGGTCCGTGGAAGGAACTATAGACAAGGAACAACTGGCCATGTATTTAAGGTGGTGACAGGGCTCGGAGGACAGCCAGTGTACCTAGATCAAATTCCTTTATATTGACTCATGGTTAAATATAATATAGACAAAACCAGCAAAAATTTAGCCCTATTTAACAGCTTATTGCAAAAAAACCAAAAGTAAAAGTAAGAGCAGCTTCGCCGGCAGACACAGAGTTAAAAAGGGAGTCCCAGAAACAGCAAGAGAAACCAGTTTTGCAGGAGCCGCCAGAGATCATAGAAATTCTTTCTCCATACGTCCCAGCCTACCCCGCTTTACCGAGGCCAATAGCCCCCTCAGAAACGAGATTTAGGAGCTAACACACCCCAGGTCTCACCTCGAAGGGGAGAATCGGAACCTGGAGAGGCCAAAGAAGGAAGTCAAGATAGTCAAGTGGGCCTTCTCAGATCTGGTCTTGCTTGAGCTATGCAAATGCCTCTCAGGGAGATGAGGACCTGTCTATTACAATGACCAGGCCCACATCTTGGGGGGGCAACAGACTTTCATCTATCAGCCCTTTTCAACCACTGATCTACTAAACTGGAAACACCCTGAATCCACCACCTTGCTCTCGGCAGCTAGAGCCCTGTCGAGCATGACTGTGTAGAGGTGTTGGATTCAAGTTTACTCTAGCAGATCTGACCTCCGGGACCAGCCTTGGGCATCAGTAGACTAGGAGCTATACGTGGACGGGAACAGCTTCATCAACCCGCAAGGAGAGAGATGTGCAGAGTATGCGGTGGTAACCCTGCACACTGTCATTAAGCTGAGCTCATTGCTTTAATTCGGGCCTTAGAACTCAGTGAAGGTAAGAGTGTAAACATTTACACTGACTCTCGGTATGCCTGTTTAGCCCTCCAAGTGCATGGAAAATTATATAAAGAAAAGAGCTTGGTAAACTCTAGGAAAAAGGGAAAAAAAGACCCAGAGAATGCAACTCAGCTTCAGCGTTTGCAGAGATACGGAGAAGCAATTCTGCAGAGGCTAAGAGTTAGTAGAAAAAAGCAAGTAATATAAAAAAAGATTTCAGAAATGCTTCAAGGAGCTGACAAAAACCTAAGTCAGTTTTATAAGAGACTCTATAAAGCATTCTGGCTTTACACCCCATTTAACCCTGAGGCTGCTGAAAATCAGTATATAGTGAATACTTCATTTGTAAAGCAAGCCCATAGTAACATCAAGCGGAAGCTGCAGACATGAATACCACCTAGTCTAGAAAAGTGGCCACCAAGGTGTATGTTAACTGTAACCAAGGAACAAAACTGGGAAAGACGGGAAAAGAGAAAAAGACAGACTAAGAGTAAGTGTAAAAAAAGAGAAATTAGCAATGTGAGAGGACGTGGACGGTGGACATGGATGTAGATATGAAAGAAGTCAAGTTAGGCAAAGATTCAAGAGCCGGGTAAGGCAAGAGAGAGATTATCGTGCGAGATGCAAAAAGAAAGAACACTAGAAGGGTAAATGTTCAAAAAGGCAATAAAGGAAATGGCCAAGGCCACAAGACAAAGAGGCCATTGGCCAAGGGCTGCCACACCTTGGAGGAACTAAATACTGATCTGACAGGAGCTGAAGAATGTAAAGACTAGGACAGACTACCGACCTTCTCATTAGGCTCCCAGGAGCCCATGGTCACATTAGAAGTTAAAAGCAGCAAGATTCTGCCGTATCTGAATTCCAATGTCTCACTGAAGGCTAAGCCACTAGATAGAGTTACAAAGGG